TATAACATTGTGTAACACTTCACCTTACTAAGTGAAGGGCTTTGAGGCGACTTGTGTTGTAGTTCGTGCCGTTTAAATAAAACTGAATCCAACTGATGTCAATTGAATTTAGCAGCTAGAGGTAAGAACTGGATATTTTTGTGAAGAGATGGCGGAGACCAAAAACAAAGCTAAAAGAAATCACTTCTAGTGAATGTTAGCGTTAGTGAGGTGGACCCCAAATGAATACCGTAATTTCTAGACGCTACTTTTTTCACACGGTTTGAACACTGCAGCTTAAACAATGATGCAGCTACTTTATGGATTTTTACGAGTTTTATGAATTTGCCTCGAGATAAAAGTGACATTGAGAGCGACAATGAAAGAGAGACTGAGGAAGTGTGTGACGAAGTAATTCTGAGGCTGTTCAATTCCGACACTGAAGACTTTAGTGGTTTTAGTGAGCAGGCGGAAGATGAAGATAGCGATCAATGACTTTTCCTGGTAGGCTACTGTAGTTTTTATTTTCTTAACCAGCCGTGTTACAGACACGGTTCGGAAAAAAGCATTTATGTATTTGTATATGTTACTGGTACGTATTTAACTAAAAGTTTAAGTAATCTTTCTGTGTAAATATCTCATGTTACAATGTGCGGCTTATAGACAAGTGCAGCCTAAATATGTACAACATTTGTTTTCATTTTAAAGTTAGTAGGTGCGGCTTATATTCAGGTGCGCTCAATAGTCCGGAAATTACGGTACTAATGTGGCTTCTGGTCAGTTTGATGTGTAGTTTCCTAAGTTTAATCATATCAATGTACCAAGGTGATCAAACCTAAGTCTTGTGTTTACCACGTTTTTTCTGAAGCCAAGAATTAAAAGGAAAAAAATCAATTTTTAGTGTTTTCAGGACCTTAAGAAAATTTGAAAACAGTCCATTTTTAGCTGAGTTGTGCCACTTCAAGGCATACACACAAAAATCCAGGTAAGACTGTCCTCGCAGCAACCCGCTTCTCTTTCTCTCTTATCAAACTGCCTTTTGATAATTGCTTCTTCTGCCTCTTGTTGTTTAATGCTCTGCCCCAAACAACCTATTTAAAAAGGGATTACATTCCATTAAAGAAGAGCTGGTGATATTTCGTGAGACCCTTAATGGTAACGCATAATCATCATTGCTTAATTTTTTTTTTGGGGTGGGTGCTTTTTGTATTTGCACCTTGATGCGACTCCTTCATCGCCTACTTTATGTGATTCACTTTACACCTCGACTACTTGAAAATGCATTAAATCTGTTAGAAACTGACCGGCCCACAACGCGCATTAGTGTTCTTTTCAAACTGGGTTAGAGATAGCCACATTTCTTAGTCGGATTAGGAAAAAGTCATTCAGGTGAACAACCTATTCTTCTGTATTTGGCTAAGAAATGCCAACTTCAGGAACCAGGTTTGGTCTAGACCTGCGCGCAAGATCCCTGCGTACCTGTAATGAATCCATAATGTCTCACTGATTCATCACAGTAGAGGTAATTGATTCCTCGCCTCCACTTCAGTTCCTTTGATATATTTCTTTTCTTTTTATAAATACCCGTCGGTACATGCTGATCCGTGAATCTCGGCCCATTTCTTGATTTGCTCTTGCTTTAGTCTTTCCATTTCCCCCTCTTCTCATTCATTCAGAATCCTCACTTCTTCAAGACAGTCACCTCTTTGTAGCATTTTTCCTCCTTCCCCCCTCTCCGTTCGTTCTCGTCCGTCCTTGCCTCTCAGCGATGATGTATTATATGTATTTTGGCACACTAGCGGCTGCCCTCCTGCATGTGCACCTGCTCTCCATCTCTCTCATCCGTCTTCTCCTCCCTGTCTTGCGTCTACCTGTCTCTCTTTTTATTCCCGTCTCTTCTTCTTGAGGTCTAACTTTCCTTCGTTCCCTCTCTCTCTCTGTGTCTCTCTCTGTGTCTCTTGGCTGTCTCCGACCAGACAGGCTTCTCTTTATGACAGCTGACATGTGGCAATTTCCTTTCGTTAATGACAAGAAATGTGCCAATTACCTCTCCGGATGTTTCACTGCCAATCAGACACTAACGAGCTGTAAGTGCGTGTGTGTGTGTGTGTGTTTGCATGCGAGTTTGTGTATCTGCGAGTGTTTGGAGTCTGTTGGCATGAGAGGAAGTTGGAAGTGCTATATGAGATGTAGTCTTCTGCGGAATTTTAATCATCTTAAATCTTTCCACAAGTTTGGTGTTGAGGCCGAACTACCTTTTCATCTCTGTTTTTTTTTTTTTAATGAGTCCTAATTATCCTCGCCGCAGAATAAAGGACCGGTGAACTGTTGCTCACTTTTTGCTCTCTTACACAAGTTCCCACTTCTGACACGAGTTTCTACCACGTTCTATCCCCTGTCACTCCATCTCCCTCCCACCCCTCCATCTGCACTGAAAAGCTCTTTTGTTCAATTTTTAATTACTTTCTCATATAAAAGTGCTCTTGACATCCGAACGCAGCACGTTCGGAGAGGCTGCCTCTGTGATTGGTGCAAAATTGGATAACCACCTCTTTGTATCTACTGTCAATCTCTGTTTCTAAGAGCAGACCTTTTCGCTTCCTAATGCCCCTGCGCTCGGCACATACTAATTCAAGCGCTGAAAGAGAAAATATTTATCATGTCAACAAAACCCATTGTTTCGCTTGTTTGCATCACTTCAACTTGTTTTTACTTGAGACTTTTCAGCGCGGGAACAAAAGACACACACACACACAAAAAAAAATGGCAATCAGATCACTGTCGAATCTTTGTTCTCTAAACATAGGGGTCCGTCTCTCTGCTAGTCATATTTTTCAGACAGAATTTAAGATCGACGTTATAACACAAACACGCACACGAGAAAACCTATGCAACCCCTAGTCGATAAATACTGCACTAAAACCACTCCTTATATCTTTATGGTAATAGTGCATCATAGCTTTCATACACAAAGATAATGCAGAAGACTGTGTGTGTATGTGTGTGCAATAAGAGGAACTTTTGATATTGAAATGACAAGGGGTGAAATGTTTTCGCCATCACCAGAAAGCTGCAGGTTGCCGACTTACCGCTGACTTCTTGCGGCGTGTTGCTGTGGCGCCGAAAGTCATGACAGACGTCTAACTGTCACCTCACCAGGTGTCACAACAGATTAGTCGAAACAGAAGCCAACTCAATAACACGAAGCCGAAATGACTGGCGACACGTGTGCGCGCCGAGATTGTATTATTTGCAGCGTCTTTACTAATGAATGCATTTTTTTTCCCCCACTCTGTACAAAAATAAGCACCAGAGGAATCAACATGTTAACAAAACGATGGCAGTTTCTGAGTTATTTTTCTCACACACATCCTTCTGCCTAAGTGGCACTAACTCCTCCACATCTGCTATTAAGAGAAATTAGATATTCTGTTTCTTGTGCCTTTTATTCTGCGGTTGTCATTGAGTTGTGTAATATTAACACTGCTCTCATTAAGCATCTAGATGTAAATTAATTGAAACCGTGAGTGCATTTATAGAAAAACCGTACTCGCCTTTTTATACATCTTCGTGAAGATGATTTCTAAAAGCGGTGACAGATTTAATGCGTCTCCTGTATACGCTGATCTTTATTGCACTCTGCTTGGCTGCCAGAAAGGTTCAGTTTCAGTTAATAGACGGCTGCTGATGGAAATGTATTGCCTTCATGAAACTGATACATGTTTATGAAGGAAAATACTCATAATCACCAGATCAGCATAGAATTTACATCAAGCTTACAGCGGTTTACTGTGAAAGCGCTGATGTCAGGATTGTGTGTGTTCAGATGAAACTTCGTGGTGGGGATGAGCTGCATGATGTAGATGTTTTATACAGCGAAGCGGAAGTGTGAAATAATTGTGAAGTGAGCTATTGAAAATATTTTCTTCGCAGCCTCTCCAGTGTGTTCCCACTGGATAAGAGAGCGGGCAGCCTTGCAAGAGGTGTGATGCTGATGGCGTCTTTGATTCCTGTCATCTCGAACTAACACAGATGCGAGCGGCGCTGATAATGCACATGACCCGGTGCGCGCCGCAATCAGTCCATCTTCTGTTTTGAGAAAGTTCTAACAATGCTGGCTTGTTATAACAATGGCCACTGTGTTGTGCGCCTCTGCGCCACTACGTGCTGTTTCTTTGTTGTTTCTGAGGAAAGCCAGCAACAACAGTGACTGTTTTGTCTTGGCAGGACTCATATCAGGTTATTGCCCCACTTTTTGAGATACTTTATCTCTCATGAGAAAGACCCTTTATAAACATCCAGCTTATCTTCGCCTGTACTGCTCCTTGGAGCCTTATCTCTTATCAGGCCCTGCTCCTCATGGGCGATCACAATACACGGGAAGTTAGCTGTTTGCCAGGACTCCTCATCGCTGGACAGTTTCTTTGAAAAAAACCAGAGAACCAGGAAATATTTCTGAATAAAAGCGGCTGCAGAGTGCGAGGCGGCACGTGTTATTCTTTTCAAAAACGCTAAACCTTTCCACCTCTTGAAGAGGAAAGGGATCTCGGTGAATTACAGCCAAATAACCGCTCCAAATGATCCCCCCGTTCTGCGATAGTGCCAGGAGTTCAATATCCGTATCATTTAAAGAAATGAAACTCATAAGAAAAGGTCAGAGAGCCTCTCAGCTTTAGGAATCGTGGAGAGTTTTCTTTTCTGTGCTGCCTGACAATGCTGCTGTTATTGTAGCGCTTTGTTCTACGGGGAGAATAAAAAGAGCATGATAGCTATTGACTTTTTGTAGCAGGACCTCAGAGACGTAAACAATTGCGCTCTAATCCTGGCACTCGCTGTTATTTGGGAGGTTCGACAGAAATAAGAAAAACTATAGCTGTTTAAACACTTCGCTGTGATTTTTCTACAATTTAATGAGGTCAACCTGTCTTATATCTCCTCTCACATCTTCCCTTGAAAACACTCTTCAGTTGTCTCCAAGCTGTTTTTCCTCCATGTTCTTTTTCTTTCTTTCTTTTTCTTAGGTGGAGTGGTTAAAGAACGAGGAAGTTATCGACCCCGCAGATGACAGGAACTTCTACATCACCATCGACCACAACCTGATAATCAAACAGGCTCGTCTGTCTGACACGGCCAACTACACCTGCGTGGCAAAGAACATCGTGGCCAAGAGACGCAGCACCACTGCCACGGTCATCGTCTACGGTAACGTCCTGTTTCACCTAAACCATTAAATCTAACTTAATTTGTATTCCACCTTTGGTACAGGTGATGTTTTTTGCAGGTGACTGGAAAGAGAAAATGAAGTTTTTTACCTTATTAACATGTCCACATGGTGTTTTTTTTGTATGCCAGAAGACAAATCATGAGTAAAATAGGCAGAAAACGTCCACCTTGAATCTGCAGTCTACCAGTGACAGGCTCAAAAACATGAATTCAGACCTCTGGGGTTTGATATGCAACAAATCTAAAGAGGACCGATTCTGTCAACTTACAGGGTGGCACTTTCTGTTTCATTTCTCATCTTCAGAATCGGTTCAAGCATTAGCAGTTTTACAGTGTTTCAGCCGAGTTGTAACGAGGGAACTTCACAGAGTCGCACATTCTAAAGGAAGCAACGGAGTAACATCTATTCCATTATGAGGCAGAGATGGATTATTATTATCATGGACAAAAAAAAAGAGGCTTTATCCAACAGCCGGAGAGGGACTTGACCAACAAACCCTTCACAAAACGACACCACCGATGAGTAAAGTCAAGACACCGGCGCAGAGCAAAAACGTTGAATTCCTCTAAGAGGTCGACTCAACTCAAAATAAAACAAATTTCAAAGTCACTCTGCATAAAGCAAACCCCTCTCTCTCCCGCAGCGTGCAACATTCGCTCATTTTGTTCCCGCCAGAAGGTGTGTGTGGAATGGAAGATTTGTGATTTTTTTTATTTTTTTCTGAACTGAGAGAGAGAGAGGTGCTGATGTGGCTGAGGCATTCTTAAAGAGCCCCCCTGCTGTGGTTTCACACAGACTCACCCACTGTCTCCCTGACATCAACTAACACGACTGTTATAGCTGCAGCACGGCTGTGAAGTTAAACTTGGGCGCCTGCTGGAGGATACTCGAGACGCAACAAACGGCACATGAAGAGGAGGCTTTTTTTTTGTTGTTGAACGCGGGACGTTATTTTTCTGACTGCTGGCTTGATAGCTCGTTAGCTCATTGTGTGCTTGATGGAACTCCTCTTGATACTTTACCTCTGGCAGCATCCCTGTTTCAGACGCGCACACAGAATTTACATCCGCTATTTTCTGCATGCCCAAATTACTGCATAAAGAAGTAAACGCAGATGCAAACACTGCACGAGTGACCAGATAGTTGAAACCGATACTGTCACCGGGGTTGAGTTTCGAAATCTATAATTCCCTCATCACTTTTCCTCGTGTCCCTTCTGGATTTACTGGAGGTGTGGTATTGTTAGCATTCTTTTTTTTTGTGTTGTTTATCTACTATGGTTACAGTTAAGTGAACACTGAGACTAAATGGGGATCAATGTTAGAGGTGATGTAGAAACACAAGAGAGCAGGTTTCAGGGACAAGAGGCTTTCACGTCGCAGTCTATTAGAAAAAAAAACAAGTGCTTTGATGTCAACTCGTCCTTTGCCTTTCCAAAATAGCATACATTTATGAAGAGTTGTGAGAAAGGATAAGGCCTTGTGGTTTTTTTCCAAGTGGTTTCCACTCTGACTGACCACAAGAACACTAGAAACAGGAGCTGATAACAACAAAAAAAAGGGGGTGAAGAGAGTAAAAGAAGAGGAGGGAAGATAGAGCCTTAATCCATAGAGGGTAGAAAGCAGACAGTAAAGAAATGTGGGGCTTTGGCAGTCTCCCCCCCCAGAGTCCAATATTTTGGGCTTCACTCATAAGCATGTCACATTTGAAAAGTCGGAGGCTCCAAGGGGCCCGGTTCCACCATCTCAAATGCCACAGACTTGTTCTCAGCCACAAGCCCTGGTGTCACTCTGCACTGGATTTAGTCGCTGACAGAGATGGATGAGCGAGGGAAGAGAGGCATTAGGAGGAATCAGTGAATGGAAAATGCAGCTATCTGACCAGAATTTACTGTCTGCCTGCACCGCAAAGTAACGACCCGAGATTTCAGGGTCAAAAAAAAAAACCTCGGCGGTGTACACACATTTTAAAAACGGCCGTTCACGTAGACGAACCCAACCCGAATTCAGATGTAATCTTTTTTTTATTGTCTGTCTCTAAGTGCTTTTACTTCCTTTACTTTTATCCTTTTATAAAACAAGTTGGGACACGTTTTTTTAAAGTTTACTGTTTGGTCATCCCTTTTAAGAAATGTTTGAGGAATCAGCCAGAGTTAGATATTAACACGTTTTACGACCGTGCTTTCCAGTGAATGGCGGCTGGTCAACATGGACGGAGTGGTCGGTGTGCAACAGCCGCTGTGGCCGTGGTTACCAGAAACGCACTCGCAGCTGCACCAACCCAGCGCCGCTCAATGGAGGCGCCATCTGCGAAGGGCAAGGCATCCAGAAGCTGCCGTGCAATCCTCTGTGCCCAGGTATGGCAAAAAAAAATTTAACAAAACTCCCACCTGTCAGTGGGTGGAAAGGGTTCAGGTGCACACACACACACACAAAAAAAAACAAATGCATAAAATATGATGCAACTCTGTGTTTGCATTTTTCGCTCTGTTTGTGCCTCCACGCTTACGTGTGTGTGTGTGTCTCTCTCCCACATATTCTCGCTGTCTCTATCACGTATCCACTCACCCACTCATGTGCTCATTTGTCCTCATCTTCTTCATCTGCCATTTGGTTCACTCGACCCCTCGTCTGTCCTGTGTGATAGTGGATGGCCTGTGGACAGAGTGGAGTAAGTGGTCCACCTGTGGGACAGAGTGCACCCACTGGAGGAGGAGAGAATGCAGCGCCCCGGCACCAAAAAACGGGGGAAAGGACTGTGAGGGCATGGTGCTCCAGTCCAAGAACTGCACCGATGGGCTGTGCATGCAGAGTGAGTACCCGACTAATCCTCTGCTACTCTCTCTGACCTGCCAACCAAAGAAATCTCTTCACCCTTTGACCAGGAGTTTTCTCTGTGCTCTTTCATCACCACGCTGTGTTTCACATCGGCACATAACACTCTCACCCTGTCGCTCACTCAAGTCTGTTTCACTTCGCTCATACATAAACAATAAGACAAGCTAAAACGCCTTTTCTGTCTTCGGTGCTTGATCTGTTTCTCTTTATTTTTGCATGCATAATACACAAAAGCTGTTTGATAAAAGTGATATAAAAACTCCAAAAACCGCTGCACATGTTTTTCTGTTAGTTCTGCTGCAAATATAAGTATATGTTTAAAAAAAAAGTGCTTGGCCACAAAGGGAAGCACTCGAACTAATTATCCTTATCACAGGCTAAGAATTTTGGAGTTATATTTAAAATAATAATAAGTCATTATATGGTAATTACATAAGGGGGTGGACACAACTACTGAGCTGCTTTGATTACTACCTTAATTTAAAAACTCTGCTTTCTTTAGGTCCAATGAGAGGAAACACAAGGCCACAAAGTGGCACAAGTGTAGACTTGCTCCATTTCCTGAGCTGGCCATTACATGTGCTGGGAAGTGAGCATGTGTTCTACATGATTATTTAGTATTACAATGACTTCAAAGCACACAAAAGGCACCAGGATGCACCATCGTTTTTCTTTTATTGGTTTTTCTGTTGTGTTGCTTACAAAAAAAATGGGCCAAAGCCAGTTTGTGGTGCAGCCAGATATTTTTCTGCAGGCAGTGAATTGTTTTCTGCTTCTCTTTCTTCCAGTAAGTTAAAAACAGCCACGCAGTTCAGTTAAGCCAACAATCCTGCTCCCTCTGCCTTATAATACATTCACAGATTCGAATCATGCCGCAGTTTCTTTGATGCACAGTGTGAGTTTACTGCAGTGCTAAGTTGTTACATGGTAAAGTGTTTAATACCCTAAACTTCTTCTGCTAAAATAGCATTCCCCCTTCTTCTCTATGCCTGTAATAACGGGAGAAAGAGGACGAGAGAGGGGGGGAAACTGCAGGCATTGCACAGTAACTGAGTTAAACTCTGTGTCTAGTTTAATAAAATTCTTCCCCCATAAACACCTTTGAAGGTGTTAGACCCACTCACTGTCACAGATGCCTCCGTCGTGTGTATAACCTATTACAGATGGTGATTGTGACACTAATGATATAACAGAGGACGGCTGCTGGATGTATTGAATTTGATACAGCTGGCAACTACTGTGTGCGGCCGATGTGAGCCTTTTGCTGCACGATGGGTGCTGTAAACTGCTACCTGCCATATGCTGTCGATGTGATGTAGAATAGGTTACAGCTGACGTCACGCTGGCGATCTATACGCATCTGCTTGATGGATCCGCGTGCCTCTGTCCAAAGTAAACACGCGCCGCACTGTATGTGTTTATGTAGAAAGAACAGGAAACTATGACTTCAGTGTTCGGTGAGTTTACCGTCAGAGGAATGCATTAACTAATTTTATAGCCAAGCTCGTATGTCTTAACAGCGTATAGAAACATCAGGGAAAAAATCTATGACAACGCCGAGGCAGACTTGCTCTTATTTGTGTTATTCATCTTATTTTATTTCCCTCTGCGGCATAACATATGTTCACCCCACACTCCCCTGGCCTTCTGGACGCCCCGCGCAGCTCAGCCTATCCCAAAAGCATTAGTTCTCTGTAGATTGATGGCAGGTTTGCAGAGAATATAAAGCCATAATGATATAGATTTAGGATCATTTCAAGGATTGATTTTTTTTGGAAGCTAAGAGGGTGAAGCCACTTATGTCAATGCTAATGACCATTTCCACAAGCATTTAGGAGAACGGCCCATTATCTAAAAGCTCACGTTATGGCAAATATGATTGGGAATGGAAGTTGTGTGCAATCTGAACTCACCTCGGACCGCTGAGCTGCTCCCTCCAGTGCAGGGCTGGGATCTGAGCGAACACGTGTCTGTGGATTCCGTTGCAGCTTGATCTTATTTTCTGTTGTTTGAATTTATTTAAATCATTCCAATTGGAATCCATCACAGAATTCTAGCAAAGGAATTCGATATGACCGGCGCTCGAAATAGAGCCTGTGATGCTCAGCATCCACTGCTGCGTGCTGTGGAAACACCGCTGACCCCAGTCAAAAAGGAAAGGGTTGTGTTATAATTTACTTTGTAGCGTGTTTATCGCATTTAGACTGTCAGGGAGTTTGGGGGGGTTGGATTTAACAACGTTAAGTATCTTCAGATTGGTCTAGAAAGGTTGCACTTTGCCTGTTCAGACTGAACTTCCCAACTCTAACACGTGTAGTTTTCACAGTTCGCTGGAGCGGATCTGTCTAAACCTCTGTTTTGCGCAACCCCTGTGGTCCTTCTTTTTTTTAAATTCTGATGTTGTTTTCCAAACCTTTGGTAACCCTGCTCTCAGATATGACATTTTCTTGACATATTGATCGAGAGAAAAGGGAACACTGACTCCAGCAAGGGCACATGGCTTATTGCTGTGAAACACCAGAGACGGGACGGTTGTGACTTTAACCTTCGCTTTAGCCTTCTAAGAACATGGAGCTTTTTACTCTTTGTTTTATGAAAACTTGATAAAAAACACAAAACAGATTCACCGCTGAGAAGCAGTGGAAGCAAATATGAACCTTTAGCTGGTCAACAGATATCAGTTGTGGCAGATGGAATTGTGTTTCTCTAAGGTTGGAAGATGTCACATTGTGAAGAGTAATGGTTAAAACACAGACAATGATTTCCTGCACTATGATCTCCTCTTCCTTCCCAGCTCTGTGATGTCAGGAAAGACTAATCTTTGTCTGTGTGGGTTTCCTTTAGAGGCCACCCACTGCAGCCTGCCTTTACTCCTGCTGTACTGTACACCCGGCCGGGATGAGTAGAAACTCTACAGGATGGGTTCAAATGTGCCATCAGTTAGACTGACCCCAACAGCCACCTCCCCCTCCTCCAGGCCCGGCTTTCCCGTTGCCTGATTACATGTACAAACCAACGCCATCTATCAAGCCATTGATTTTCCTGTCAGTCCACTTGTCTGCCCGTGGCTCTCTCCCTTTCCAATAAGGACTTCATTGTTTGTATAGTTGTTTATGGATGTCCCTGGGAGACTGAATATTATGTGCGTGCTATCCCCGGCTGCCGCTCCAGCCCCGCTTTCCACTTCGACATCCGAGCCACAACAAAGCAACACCAAAGCCAAGTTGAGACCCACGAAAAAAAAAAAGCACCATCTATGCTTTTTCAAATCTCCACATCACTGTCCTTCAAGCCTTCCTCCATTTCCTGCTTTCCAAACATAATCATTCCTTTTATCTGGTGCACTAACCTCTCCATCCACCTTCCAGTGACAGATGCAAGGCTGTAGGTTCTATTGACTCCGCTGGAGCCCACACTTTATCAGCCGCTCCATTCCCCCTCACCTGCCAGCATCCGTCCCGCTGCTGCCGAGGCACTAAGCCCAGTTGATGGATCGCACCACTCCCTTACAGAACCTCCATGTTCCCCCTTCTCCTCCCATCCATCTCTATACTCTATACACAGATATGGAAAGGAGGGGCCAAATCAAGAAAAATCGCTTCCCCGTGTCATCACTCCTGCTCATGAGTTTGTTGCTGTCTCATTTGTTGAGTTTGTTTTTTCTGTTGGAAATTTGATTTTCATCATCCTTCTCCCCTCCCTTCCCCCCTTCTCCCCTTACCTCTCCTGCTGTCTCTCCCATCCACAATCCTTCCTCTCTTCAAGGTTCCTTATATCAGAAGTCCTCTGAGGCAAAAGACAAGAGTGATTTGGGAAATTCATGTGAGTTATTGTTTTTTTGTTGGTTTTTATTTATTTTTGCATTATTTCTACCTTACTGTCTGTTTTTTGTCCCCCAACCTGTTTGTTTGTTAGTTTTTTTTTTTCAATCAGGGATTTCACCGGCAGGTTACGCACTCACAGTCCCAGAAAATTCATTAGAAAACATTACTTCTTTGCAAAAACAGCTACATTTCATAAGTGCTGTTTCCGCACTAAAAGCGTGAAACCAAACAGGAAAAACACGTCCGCGACGGGCTGACAACACATGTTTATCACTGTTCTTTTGTGTTCGCATCTGTTTTATTACCCCTATTCTGTTTTTTAGCTACAGACAACCACCGCGGGGCATCTCTCACTTTTGATTTCTGCTATAGTCTTTCTCAAAATGTGTTAGCCGGCTGCCTGTTTGCAAAAAAATGCCAAAGTTGTGCTTTGCCCTGTTGCTCCTCCTGAACTTCAGCCTCTTTGTGTCTCCATCAGAGGATTTAACCCACAATATGTCCCCTGTGTACACAACAAGAGCTTCACACACTAACAGCAAGACTTTTAATAACATATTGTTCAATTAACTTTACTCCACAGAATCCAAAAATGGAACAGAAAAGCTAAATCAAATCAATATGTTGCCTCCCTTTACCTTCAGAACAGCTCCAGTTCTCCTAGATACTGTACACTTGGTAGTGTTTGTCAAGGTTCTGGGTAGGATTCGGTGGATTTTATCAGCTTTAGGATCTCTTCATGTCATCCTAGACTGACTCAGTGACATCCTAGTGGTGACGATGAAACCACTTTTTCAGAATCCCTTATTCTTCTCGCTGCTGAAGGTAGTTCCTCATGACTGTAGCTTTACGTTTGGGGTTGTTGTCATGCTGCAGAACGAATGTGGAAGTGATCCAGTGCGATGGGTAAGAATCCTAACATCGAAAGTGCCTCAAATTCTTCTTCTTTTTTTTTGCACAGCGCTGTATATTTCTCAATTATTCTCTGTCTCTGCATCTCACCCTCCCTCTGTAAATCTCTGCGTTCTCACAGAGAATGGAGTGTTCAATAATCCCCTTTCATTTCCATTTCTTGTACTTTTCCCTTTCTGACAATGGCTCATGTTCAAAGGGATGTATTAATCTAAGTGATACATTTTAATGCGCACACTTAGCAGGTTGCTGCCTTTATCATCAAAGTGTGGATGGGAGATTGTTCGACTGAGGGGATATATGTTAAATAACTGCGGGGAAGCTTGGCAGAGGGAACGCAGTGAAATTACATTTTCAGACTTTCATCACCGGCTCCCCGCTCTGTTTTCTGTTTATGTCTGTGGTAAAAAGCGAGGATTAGAAGCCCCGACATGTATGAGAGCGTATCTTTAATGTGGCGTCTCACTCAAGGCTAAACAGAGATGGCCCGGTCAAATTTGTCCTTTCCTAGAGACTAGAGGCAAACAAAGTCTTTACAAGGACTCCAGCATTGCCCCCGTAATCACAGCCAATTCAGTCAAACTTAACCTGAAGAAATCATTCTAATTTTTTTTTTTTTAATTTACTGTTTAAAACTGTGGCTGAAAGGGAGTGAAGGTTATGGTGGATTTCATTTTCAATAGAGATTCTTTAAAAGCATGAAACATAATGGGGGTTTAAATAGGGTAAATGTTAAATCGTGCACTTATTTAATTAAATTTAAATCCTATTCATCCATAGAATTAAACATCAAGTCATAGCTGGAGAAAAAAAATGAAGCCTGGAGAGTAAGTAAGTGATAAAAAAAAAAAAAATACACAACTTATGACTTGTCACTAAAGCACTCTGGTCTTGCTTTCTATCCTCTATTCCTTTATCCTCCTTTGGGCAAGAGAACACAAGAGACACAGACTGAGTGCCATCTGTATCCCTGAGACACATGAGGCTAATTTACACAAATGTATGGATTTATGGGTGATACTGCCATCTACTGGTGCAGAGCCTTTTACATACATCTCACAAGCTCCCTTATCAAAACACCTTTGTTCTCTTATCATTAAACAGCAGTTTACGTGCTTTGGTGTTTGGCTTTTTGGACAACCTCTTGACATGTACAGTGTTCATACTCATACGCTGAGCGATGCACACACACACACACAAGCTCCTACATGCCTTTTGGCATTTCATTACCTCTAAAGAAGAGTTTTCTCCCCATTTGTCAACTTGGTGACAGTGAAGGACATTCTTTATCAAACACCGCAGAGAGTTCAGACTGTCAGTAGGCATCCATTAAAAAGGTCTGATCTAGTAATGAGTGCCTGTCTGAGTCTGTATTTCTAACAGCCACATATATCCATGCCAGGCCTACTAATCACAGAGGTTTCTCCAGCTGGAAACTGGACAAAAAGACTTTGGGAGGGAGACGGAGATGAAAGACGGTTTGAGAAATGCAAGCTATGTCTAGATCGTATCTGCAGTGTGTAAGAACAAAGACGGAGACAGACTCTGAACTCCAACACACAGCACGGTAATTTGAAGATGAAAACATCTATATCTCCGTCTTCAGGACTTTTGATCTTCCTTTTAAGCGGAGATCCGCGTGTCATTGGGTTGCACTGGAGCAGCCTTCTTGAGTAATTGTTCTATCACGCTCAGTGTTTACCATTAACGACATTATTTCCATTTTTTTCTATTATATATACCTTGAATGTAGCTGCCTCATACATCACTTTTCTGAAAAGATAATCATCTGTAGAAGCAGTGATCAGTGTTAACGTTTACATGCAAGTCCAAAATGCTTGAATAGGTTTTGCAGATTTCTTTGTGACTAAGAGATATTCGTGCGCCTTTTGCTGTAAAGGTGAAAAAACACCGGGTGTTGTGTGGCAGACTAAATTTGCTGCATCACTGCATGCATCATTATACCCATTTACTTTTGACAATTAAGAGTGTCCCCGTGTTATATAATAATAAGCCGAGGCTGTTTTTTCACAGCAGGTCAGCATTAACTACAAGGAGAGAAAAAAAAAAGAAGACAGGAGATCCACTGTGTGCATTTATTTCCCAGGAGATGGTTATTAATATCCGGCTCAATCGTAAACCAGGATATTAGTCTGCTGATAATGGCTTCATCACGGCTCCGTCACGTCGAGAGAGAAAGCTTAATGCTATCGACGTAAACTTATGAGATCTTAAATAACAATTTTTCTATCTCTGTTTTGTGTCTTTCTTCCCCCCTCAACCCCCTTCCTCACCCAGTGGCCCCCAGTACAGACGATGTAGCTCTCTATGTGGGTATTGTCATAGCGGTGATCATGTGCCTGGTTATCTCCGTGGTTGTGGCGCTCTTCATCTACAGGAAGAACCACCGAGACTTCAACTCTGACATCATCGATTCCTCCGCCCTCAACGGAGGCTTCCAGCCGGTCAGCATCAAGACGGCCCGCAAAGGTGGGTTTGATTGCCTTTTTTCACTAATTATTTGTAACACTTGTAAGGTTGCAATGCAGAAGTTTCCATCCATCCATCCATCCATCCATCCATCCATCCATCCATCCATCCATCCATCCATCCATCCATCCATCCATCCATCCATCCATCCCAGCCGACCTAATGCGAAGGCAGTGGACACCCTGGACAGGTCACCAGTCTATCAACATGTTTTTGGACTGTGTGGGAGGAAGCCGGAGAACCCGGAGAGAACCCACGCTGCACGGGGAGAACACGCAAACTCCACACAGAAAGATTCCGGTGCCCCAACCGGGACGCGAACCTTCTTGCTGCGAGGCAACAGTGCTAACCACTGCGCCACCCTGCAGCCCTGCACAAGTTTCATTACAGAAAATGTATTTATCAAAAATGATAACTTACTATAGAAATCTTCAACAACTATTTCTCCAAAGCCTTTTGTAGCCTTAACAAAAGAGCTTTAGACTGAAAAATGTATTCAATTCTAGCTTTTGGTGCTTGACAGATGTTGATGCTTATTGGTACAGACATGTGTCAGCAGATAAAAAGTATTGAGGTTAAACCCACAGCCCAAGATGCATTTGTTTGTCAGGCATTGGGAAGCACAGCACCACCGTGTGAACTACACCATGGCTTTCGGCGCTTTTTTTTTTTCACTTTTTACTACTCAGAAATGACAGATACAACATTTATAAAGCACTTGATTTAGTTTTTCTTCTTATGAATCGTAAGAATAAGATAGCAGATGGAAAATAGTCACTTCTGCTGGCACCAAAAGGGTTAAGTTTGTTCTTCTCTTTAGTTTTACAGCAGTTGGAATCAAGAAAGTTTTTCTTTTTCTTTTTTTTTTTTCCCCTCCCCTGATCTTTGAGTTAAAGCTTCCATGGTAATAAGAATAGCAGGCTTGGTGGTATTTTAGAGTGAATTAGTGATGAATCACCCTCATGCATGAATCATACATCAATAATAGCCTAATTTTAGGCTTGAGCCATGATGATGAGGACAAAGTAAAATTAGCAATGCGAAAATAGCTTATTGTCGATATTTTAGGGACCCTCCCACTTTCCGAAAAGAAAAAAAAAATTCACAAGTCACGTTTTCAGAGAAGCTAATGTCTAATTAAAAGAAGCCAAGCTCCCCCTGGCTCCCCTGTAGTTCACACAGACTTTCATTAGCAACCCATAACATTAACCTGTTGAGATGTGTTTGACTCGGTTGCTCCGGCAGCTCGCGTGTTTGTGACGGCGTGAATGTAAATGTGCTCTTTCGGCTGCGGATGAGCTCGCAGGAGAAAGTCAGACAGCGTGTTTATTGGGGCGAGGCAGCGAAACTATTAAAATGTTTGTCGTTGTGATGGGAGGCCAAAGTATGCCCCATCATTAAGGCATAATAAGGCCAGTCTCGGTGTCGCATATTAAACCGTAATTAGATTCGGGTCCGGTGACGCAGGACTTAAAGGTAAGACAGCGGGGGATGAGGACAGGTGGCAGCGAGGACAAAAAACGACTGCAGAGAAACAGACAGATCAGAGTAACTGTGTTGTAAATAGTTTGTCTGATGGTCTGGGAAGAAGAAGAAAAACTGCAAATGGGAAAATAACTGAGAACAGAGACAGAAAATATCCCAAATTCAGTTCATGATGATGATGGACACCACAAATAATTGCTCAGGTGGAAAATGCTTAGTTGATTTTTGGACTAACATCATCGCCAAAGGTGCTGTTGGTTTATTCACATCAAAGACAGAACAACAGTCCGCCAGCAACAAGCATTTAGTTTGCTGGATTAAACAGATTTAAAAGATGAAAACTTTTTTTTTCTTTTGCAAAATTCAACCATATTGTAATATAATATATTCAAGGCAGTTTAGCTGAAACATAATGATTAAAATCACATTTTATCGTTATCTGATTGATCTCTGATGGATATTTTTTTTTTATAACAAAAGGTTTTCATGTTTCTATTGATTAGATATAATACATCTTCTTTACAAAATTAGTAGATGTCTGCGCCAGATGACTGAACACAGAATCTGGTAGATAAACAAGTCAAAGCCAGTCTGCATGTTTGGAACTGATCGTATCTGCAGAATTATATGACTTGATCTTTTCTGAACCACTGCCATGTTAACATATATGCACACAGGCTGGATTACTTAAAGACTAAAAAGCTCTTTCTTCTTTTTTTTTTCAACGGTGCTTGTGCAGGCTTGAGACACAGATAAAACACCATTAGCCATAGATGGAGGAAGTCTATACTCCCACAGCCCTTAATGCATAACAGTAAAGTAAGTTATTACCACGTCTGCAGTACCTTCCCGATGCAGTTATCAATCTTTTACAAAGCATTAATATACACATCTATTTGTCCTGCACTTTCACTAGTTTATTAGTTGAGCAACTTTTCCGACTTTCGCTACCATCCGTGTTTTGGAGAACCTTGTGTTGTCGGAAAACAGAGAGGGGGTGGAGGCAGTGGAGGAGCCAAAGGACGGAGCGCTCCCACTGCCCTCGCTCCACCCACTCAGCCCAGCTATTGAACATTCATCCTGGTACCTACTGGGTAAAGCGAGTGTTAGCGATGCCATCTGTTACTCATGAATCACAGCTGCGCCTATAACTTCTCTGACTGAGTAATGTTTCTTGGTGTTGAAGTGGACTTCCCCTAATGAGTGAAAAACAAATGAGTAAAGCCAAGCAGCAGTCTTGCTGATTGGTGCCAACACTTCATTTCCTCGTGGTTATTTTCATTTCGAGTCCCAGCTACTTCTCCTCTTACCACATTCCCCCCTCCTTGCTTTTCCAATGCCACATTCTTTCTTTTCTCTTTCTTTCAGCTGATCTCCTCACGGCGCCCCCTGATCTGACCTCAGCGGCCGCCATGTACCGCGGCCCGGTTTACGCCCTCCATGATGTGGCCGACAAAATCCCCATGACTAATTCCCCTCTGCTGGACCCTCTTCCCAACCTGAAGATTAAGGTGTACAACTCTTCGGGCTTAGTGACGCCACAGGACGACCTGGGAGGGGAATTTTCCTCCAAACTGTCACCCAAGCTGCCGCACTGCCTGCTGGACAACAACGACAGCACGATGGGCCGTCGCACGCAGACCCAGACGTTGCTCCGAACCAGGGATCCGTCCTGCACCGCTCTGGGCTCCTTCAGCTCCCAGGGAGGACACCTCATTGTGCCCAACTCAGGTACTGTGGCGAGCAGTGAGAGTTGTTCCACATTTGCATGCTTTGATGCTTAACTCATATTCATATTTATTAATCAGGCAAAACTGCTGCACATTTCAAAAAAACTGGCAGAGATATAAATCACATAACAAAAGATTAAATGAGCTCGTATTTATGAAAAGCAGCGTCTACGAGTTTCAGCAAATTCTATCTGTGTTCATCTTGAAACTCATTAGCTGTCTTTTGTGTGTTTTGATTGGAGTCACGTGTTTTTATTCACTCAGCGTTTAGCAATAATACTTCCAGTTGTGTGCACATGCATACAAGGATGTGTGTGTGTGCATGTATATATATGAAGCAGTAACCACAGTGTGGCCTGATGGGAGATGAGGTGTCCCAGCTTTCCTCTCTTTGCTCTTAAAGGGCCACTCTTGTTTCACTCATTATGTGCCGCTGGTGGTGATCTCAGCCCAAAGTATTTCCCCTAAAGATCCGATGAAACGAGGACTTCAAACACACTTACTTCTTTTAGTTAGTCTGTCTGGCTACCTCGCAGCGATGACAAGACTCTGTGAAGTCACTGTGTCTGGCCAGGAAATCATCTGTCTCTCCCCCCACGTAAACCGCAGCTTGTCATTTTTACACATTGTTTTTTTCAGACAGATTGAACAATGATTATAACATGTTGATAAGTGAGCATCAGACGTTCTAGCGAGTGGATTGTGTTCCCTTCAGACAGACTGGCTGTCTCCCACTGTTTTTATGCTTAAGCTAAGCTCTCCTGACGGCGGATTCATACTTAGATATGAGAACGATATCATAGACTCTGTGTAGGAATGCAAATAATTGTATTGCTTTAAGATTGATCCCATCCACTCCCCTGTTTCAATAAGAAATGCATTTCACCAGGGAAGTAATCAGAAGTGAAAATCCACTTTAATACCAAACTTGCATAAAGTGATTTGTGAGACATCAGGTTTTTTGATATGGAGAACAAAGCGTCGCACTTCTGGGATCAAGACGAGGTACGAGGAGCGTTTAAGTAAAGGAAAGAATTTGCATGTTAGGTATCAAATCTCAAACAAACATAGCTTAAACATCACAGTTATCAATGCCAATCATAATGAGCCACCAAACTACGCAACATACACGGAGAAAAAAAGAAGCATACATTATGAATCATACTTTACATGCAGACTGTAGCTGACTCCGTTCTAGTTTACCATCCCTGCCAGGAAAACCTTCCCGTACGCAGATGTGCCTTTGAAATAATACGCTAAGCCATGTGCAACCTATCAGCATATCGACTGTGCGCGCGCGGTGTGACAAGAGCTGATGGATACCTGAGGTGTGTGCACTGGAGGTACTGAAGTGGAGGTGTACTGTTTCAGGCAGCTTACATTAGCCATGCTGTCCTCACTTCAAACGCACGCGGGCTGTTTGTAACACGCCACAGATGCATGCTGACAGGCACAGACAAACTAGCAATGACATTAAAGGATACACAGACTTCTCGCGTTTCTTAAGTTTTTGCCTTTTTCGTTTTGATACCTGTAAAATGTTCTCAGCTGCCGGTTGGGCTCAGCCACCTCATCATATTACATAGGCTGAGGGGAAGGTGAGGGCGGGAGGAGGGGATGGAGGGAGAGAGAAAGCACATTTGATATGTGTGTCTGGGTAATGAAATATTTTGTGGCACTGTCAGTGTGGCTGTTTGGTATTTTGCATCTTAAAATGCATTTCCCATCTCTTTGAAGCTTTGCTGGGAGGCAGAGCAGCGCTGCGCGAGACGTCCCCGTGGCAGAGTTGTGATTGCCTTGGTAGCTAGCTAGAGAAGCTGTCTGTCACCTTTTGAAAAGTTCAGTACAAGGACATGGGAAATCAATGAGCTATCTGAGAAACCCCCTCCAGAGAGAGGCAGCGCATGTGTGTGTGTGTGTGTGTATGCATGAGGGAATTTGGGGGATAGGTTCCTAAAAAACACATCGGACAGGACATCATATCAAATCAATCTGAGATGGAAAAATGTAAATCATGCTGGCTGCAGCAATACGGGAGGAATGCTATGAAGAGTAGAGAGATCATTGATTTTAGAAATGAAATGCCACATCATTTCCTGATGCCATAGGAGAAAGCAGTAAAGTGCCATAGTTTTTATATGTGGGACTGAAGGGCACTGCTATTATTACTGTATTTCTCTGAGAAAAATAACTGTTTCACTGGTGCTTCAGCTGCTCTTTAGTAGTTCAGTGCTGCATTAAGACACGCCGGTTATATGTAAAAAGCTCTAATATTTTACTCTCATATCTAAAAGTAAGATCCATCAACATTAAGACCCATTTACGCTGTCGGCTCGTAGCCGAGATTCCTTCTCTATATTGCTTCGGTGTCATTCTCTGTACTCTCATCTCAAAGCTATTAACGCAATCATCGCAGGCATTGAAAGTAGAAATAGCTGTAAAGACTTCTCTGGTCTACATGACAACTCAGAACTTCTATATATTTATATATATATATATATGCCTGTTTATTTGTGTCTCTTTCTGCTCCCCAGGGGTGAGTCTGCTAATTCCAGCCGGGGCCATTCCTCAGGGCAGAGTGTATGAAATGTATGTGACCGTTCAGAGGAAGGACAACATGAGGTACGCAGCGCCGCCTGCCACATCAACGCCCCGGAGCTGTGTTTACCCCCGTCAGCTCCGCCATGTCACACATACACTGCTGTCACATTGTCACTAAACAGCGTGTGTCCTATTCCCCGTGCACCTCCAGGCCCTCGGTGGATGATGGCCAAACAGTGCTGAGCCCCGTGGTGAGCTGCGGGCCCCCCGGGGCCCTGTTGACTCGGCCCGTCATCATCACCATGCACCACTGTGCCGTGTGCGACGGCCAACAGGATTGGTTGATCCAGCTCAAGAGCCAGTCGCAGCAGAACCAGTGGGAGGTGAGATGCTGGATTCGTGGCGAAAAACGTGCTACAGTAGATTCTAATATCTGTCCAAGTTGGAAAATGTGCCTTTGACAGTCACATGAAACATTAACAAGCGTTTGCAGCCTAAAATAACATTCATTTATCTGCTACGTGATCCATAATGCATTCGGTTGGTTGAAAATTCTAGTCAGCGTTGAGCAAAGGCCAGAGGGGAACGCTTTTGTGAAAAACAAAATGATGATATGGCCGGGGACAATAGGTAGCATAGAGGAGGTGAAAGGGATCAACTTTCCCTGCTTTGTTTGTGCAGCTCGGCACTCAGAGGAAACCCCTGTCGCAACCAGGTGCTGAAATAGTAAACCTGTGATGGCAGGAAGCAGGCTGGGGACTGTTTTTTCTGCCCTGATTGTTTTATTGTAGCATAATAACGGCACATTTTTTTGTGTGTGAGTGTAAATGTGCATGTATGCAGTGTTTTTGGAAGCCCCCGTGTTTCCAGGCTCCATGATTAACAGTGCTGTTGATAAGCTGGCTTGCTGAAGGCAGCAGTGTGAAAGTTTTATCCTCAATCCCTTTCCCTTCCTCCCTTTCGCTATCTTTGTCTCGCACACACACATCCTCACACACACACACACAGACACAGAAACTGTCCAATTACCAAGAGATCATTTGAAGAGAGGCAATGCTTCCACCCACATCACAAAAGCTGCTTGTTAGAGGTAAACTTGTTAGAAACTGCTCCAGTGGTCATCTTTACTCCCAGAAATATCTATTTATCAGCCTCAGATGACAAACCTCTTTTTTTTTTTTCCTCACCTGTCAAGAGACAGTTTTCAGGCTAAGTGTTGCTTCTATGTGGTTTTTAATGAACTCTCACAAGCAGCGCGCTCAGATCTTTTTAAAGGGGAAGGTGCCCAGCAGAAATGAAAAAAAGCAGGACTATACAGGCTTATTGTCTAAATTGATGAGATAAGAATCAAAAACGGGCAAATCTAACTATCTGGCATCGGTCTATATCCGATGTAGGACCCTCTGTCAGCTCATCATTAAATATTGGCTTGAATATCATCATTTTCATCTTCCATCTTTGCACAGTCTCCCCCCTGCTGATGTGATGACTTATGGAGCAGGAAAAAAAAAAAACTGCCCAACTGGCCTCACATGCCTTTGTGACATTGATGAATTACTTGGGGGCATCCAATAAAGCTCAGCGCAAACTGAGTATTTTTAAGGAAGAAATAACTATTGATTACATCTCTGACCCGTCACAAGCGGCGATGGTAATATGCAAGGTGACGGCAGCTTCCTTTATATGAGTTTCTTTCCCCCCCCCAACCCGCTGAGGCCGGCCTCCATGCCGCAGGAGTGAAATATTGCTTTATATGACATGCTCTGTCAAAGCGCGTATTCGTCACCGCGGTGGAAACGGCCGAGATGAGCCCCTGTAAAGAAGTAATTCACGGATATTTATATTGAGAATAATCAGTTCTGTTGGCTTCCAGGATGCCGCATCCCTCCCTCCCCCCCACACACACACACATTCACACGGTGCCATTGAGGAAAACATGGTGTTGTGATGATGATGAAGACAGCGGGTCAGATAATGAGGAACATGTGGAGCTTTCTGCTTCAGTAACTCTGCGACAAAAATCCTCCCACGCCTCCAAAAAAATGAAAAAAAGAAGAAGAAAAGAAAAAATTCATGAATGCAGCCTGTGAATAAATTATATCCTCTGTGTTTGCATGTTTGATTGTTTTTGCTTGCACACATATGTATGAAGCAGAAGCCTACTTTTCCACTGTGTGCTCCAATTATCCCCCAATAAGGAGCCCCAGTGCCATCCCACAGGAGCAGTTAAAGAGTCTAATGATCAGCCATAATACTGCTGTTAAACGGCCTAGCTCACAATAAAATGCTGTAATTCCTCTTCTGTCTCTCATAATAGGCTGAATTAATACCAGTGTGCTGCTCACAGGAGTGTTTGGATTAGAGAGAGGATGACAGAGAGACAGAGGGGAAGAGCAAGCGAGATCAAGAGAGATGAAGAGAGGCTAACAGATAGAAAGAGAGAGAGAGAGAGGGTCGCATAAGCTTCCTCAGATCAGACAGTCTTAATGAAGGAGAAATATGTCCCGGCATTAGCGCTATTACAGGGGTCAACTACGAATGCTCCGGATACTCACTCTTTCATTATCCTGCCTGCACAGTGTCAGACGGTGTCACACATTAGTAGTAGACACACACACACACCCAGCGTCATTTTTAAAGGACACAGCTTTTGCGAAAAAGGCCACGACCCAAAATCGTACTTTTCCCATTAAAATGAAATTAAACTTAATTCCGTTTCAGTTGAAGTGAGGTAGAAAGCTGGGTAGAAAGGAAGTCCACAAAACATTTGCCGTCAATTTCCCGTCGACCAACAACTTATGTAGAATGTGTGACTTGTTAGTAAAGGTTCTGTCTGATGTACTGGTTATAAATGTGACAGTTTAGAGACACAGAGATTCGCTTTTTTGGGGTTTAATCAATGACTCACGTGAACTGTTTTTCTATGCACAATCTCACTACGTCGATTCTGTCACCAAACTAAAAAAAAAAATTAACTTCTGCTTGGTTTTTAAAAAAAAAACAGTGTTCATTTTTGGAGAAAATGCCGTCACGTTTTGTAACCTTTGGTATTGAGGAGGTTAATGTAGAATTATCATTTGTAAATTGATTAATTACCATTGATTATACAGTCGTGACTCAATAATCCGACCCTTAACAATCCTAAACCTTGCTATCCGACAGGTTTTTAGGAAAAACGAACGGAACCCATTAAAAATAGTCTTAACATACCGACAGCCTTGGATTCTGACTCCGACATGACATTTTATGTCACAAATAAAGATAACAGCATATTATCTGATTTAGCAACTGGACAGATTGGCTACGTTCAGACTGCAGGACTTAATGCTCAATTCAGATTTTTTGGTGAAATCCTTTTTTTTTGTGAGTTCGTTCACATTTCCAGTTCAATGCGACTTGTATGTGATCTGCTGTGTGAACTTCATACGACCCAAAAGTGTCCCACATGCGCAGAAGAGGACACGACGACATCACACGCAGCGAGCGAGCAGTGTTTATGGAAGTAAACATGGATGGTGGCGACAGCGGGGCAGTGGCGCTGCTGCCGCCGCCGATGGTGGAAACAGAACTGTGACCGCTGTCCTAAACTGGCATCAACAGCCAAGTACTGCCTGCGGTTCCGGCCACTTCCACCCCGTCGGAGCGCTCCCCTGGAGTGGAAGTGCCCCCCCAACCGCGTAGGATATTCGTCATTAATTGGGCCTGAATATCCAGAGACCAGAAAGTGCTATTGGGACCAGCCCTACTAGTTATTATAACAACTATGAACAAAAATTAACAACAAATGAGCCTTCAAGCATCAAGCCCTCCTTGTATCTCAACCTTCATCTTGACAATCCGACAGCCTTGCTATCCGACATAAAAGAAGGTTTTACATTTATTGTCAGATTATCCAGTCACGACTGTATTTACTGATAAGGCAGAAGATGAAGGATATCCATGTATAGTACTAGTATTGTACGCAGTATTGACGCAAGGAGGCGGTTGCACAGACAATATGCAGTTTCATGGAGAATTGTGAGGGTTTGGCTAGCAAAGGGCCACCATGACAAAGACTCCTGCAATAGTAAAAAGCCTCATGCAAGTGCCTTTATGAAGGGGTTATCCGAGTGTTCCTGCAGCTTTGTAGCATATAGGGAATGGGGAATACTGGCAAAACAAGAAATGAATTGATATTTATTATTGTACCAGCCACGTAGTGGTTGTTGTGCTGAAGTTTAGTGCTAATTGCTACAGAATTTTTCACATCTATTCTTGGAATTTCTAATGTGACCAAGCTGATCTTGTGGTGACTAGTAAATGTTCCCCAAAATGACTACATCAGCATATGTAAAAATATTGTATTTCATTCATTTTAAGAATCAAATGATAATTTATTGTTAATGTGGCAAACTATCTGTTTAAAGGTTGTTAAAAAATTTGCTTCCCCGTTTGATTTTACAGACAAAAAAAAAACAGAATATTGTTGAAAAGACTTTCACAAAGTACTTTAAAGCATTTTTTTTAACCAAACTTGCTCTGTCTGATGGTGAATACACAGAATAATTTTTTAGTGCTTTATATTAAATAGTCCCATTTCTAGGAAGCATAAAACTGGAACATGAAAGAAAGAACATGAGTTTGATAATGAAGCTCAGAGAGAAAAGGCAGCAGTGAACTCTGAGGTTTTTTTTTTCCTCCAATATTAGTAGACTTTGGCCTCATTTGCCAGGAAATGAAAAGATATAGGGAAACTTTAATATGAAGTGCTTTTAATTCTGTCTACTTTTGTTTTCATCTTTTCCTCTTTAAACTGCAAACACTACCACACGACAAAGTTATAACAAATCCCTTGGTTATTTCTGGCTTTTTTTTTTAGCTTATTATCTCACAATTTTTTTTCTTCTCTTCCTGACCACACTCTAGGATGTGGTGGTGGTAGGAGAAGAAAACTTCACCACGCCGTGCTACATCCAAATGGATGACGAGGCTTGCCACATCCTGACGGAGACGCTGGGCACCTACTGCCTCGTGGGCCAATCTCTCAGTGCTTCTACCATCAAGCGCCTCAAACTGGCCATCTTCGGGCCCGTCACCTGCCCCGGCATGGAGTACCACATCAGAGTCTACTGCCTGGACGACACGCAGGACGCGCTGAAGGTAAATAAAAAAAAACGTGCAGCAGGTTGTTGTGTCTTGGCGAAAAGGTCACGTAGCTGAAATTAAACGTGTTTGCAAGCATTCAAGATAGTTGTGAGTTTTTTTCATTTTATCTCGATTGTTTGTGCGTAGGCATAGCCGGCAGATGAGGTGTGGGAGGCAGAATGAGAAATCTTTGTGTTGTCGTGTCACAATAAGGGGTAGACGAGCGCTCGCGTTTGAATGGCGCCGCCGCCGCCGCTTCCTAGAAAGACGTAGCCGCTGCACCAACATAAAATAAGCCACGTTTATCCCCCGACTCCACTGTTGTCTCATCACCTCAATTCTGTTTAATACCTGCACGCACCTACATGGAGGAAAGATAAGGAAGGATTATTGTACTGAGGGGGGATATTGCACACGGTTATTAAGTTTGGGAATGGGTAATGAGAAGTGATAGTGATCCTGCTGCAAGGACATTGAAGTAGGTTTCAGATTGGCAGGTCTAGATTCAAGTTCATAAAGCCTCGAGGATGAATGTACTATAAAAAAAAGAAATGTTGAAATTTCTGTTGGAGCAGGAAGCTCCTGCGCTGCATCAACAGTTTATACTGCAGCAGCACAAAAGCAGAGATTGTTTTGAGGTCAGCTTGCATTGTGGCTCTACTAATAACCTTTGTGCATTCAGGAGGTCTTACAGATGGAGAAGCAGATGGGTGGGAAATTGTTGGATGAACCAAAGACTCTCAGCTTTAAAGACAGCACCCACAACCTGAGACTTTCCATCCACGATGTCCCCCACACGTTGTGGAAGAGCAAACTACTAGCCAAGTACCAGGTAAACCGCTCACGCGCTCGTCTCAGGCGGTAAACAGCGTCGCATGGTTTGTGACGTGTGACCCTCACCCTCTTCGCCTCTCTCTGTGCAGGAGCTTTCCTTCCAGCAAGTGTGGAACGGTTCACAGAGGAACCTCCACTGTTGCTTCACCTTGGAGCGATTCTCTGCCAGCACCGTGGACCTGGCCTGCAAGATATGTGTTCGCCAAGTGGAGGGAGAAGGACAGATTTTTCAGCTGGACACTACGCTGTCAGAGGTAGGTGCTCGGTTAAAGAAATTGTCTGGAGTTTATCAAAATTGCACGGAAGTCTTTAAAGATCACGTTAAAACTCTCTTTCCAACATGAATTTTGCATTCGGAGCAGTGTTGACGATCCTCCTCCACCTTGTTCGTCAGACGCTTGGATGAATTTAACCTCTCTTCCCACTTTTTGCAGTGTTCACAAAATGTGTCGAGGTGGAAGACAGGGGAGTCTCAACCCTGCTGCCTTTATATAGTCTTGCTTATGACAGGCCAATGCAGACAAGAGAAGAGCAGAGGGGACATAATCACCCTCCAGTCATGCTGTACTTGCTTTACAAAGGCCATCTGGCCAGGAGAATAGAGCTTGAGGGATGGAGGAGCACTGGGCTTTGTGCTCAGTAATGAGATGAATTACAGTACATGCAGTGCTGAGCTGTGTCCCTGCCTGGCCTTGGTTCATTTGTCTCTGGGTCTTGATCTAGTTTCTGTAGCCAGACCTCCAGCACTTAATTCTCTAGATGCGATACATTTGAAAATCACTCAGCTTGCATCCGCAAATGGGTGGCAATGAAATGAATGATTTTCTTTCTTTTTTTATGGCACCCAGAGAAAGAAAAAAAAAGAAAAATTCTGTGCCTCAAATCCATTTGAACTACATTATGTTTCATTTTGCGAGATGTCAAATTATGTCCATTCGGCCTGCAAGCCTGACAAAAGAAACGCCACAACTATGGTCTCTTCTTCAATCCCCCTTCCGTCGTCTGTTTTCGCAGGACTCCCAGAGCATCGACACGTCTCTGCTGGACCCCGCCAGCAACATCACCACGCTGGTGGGGCCCAACGCCTTTCGTATCCCCGTTTCCATCCGACAGAAGTTGTGCGGCAGCCTGGACGCGCCGCAGACCAGAGGAAACGACTGGAGGATGTTGGCCCACAAGCTCAACCTCGACAGGTGGGTAGACGAGAGGGCAGCCGGAGAGAGAGAAGCGGCGAGACGGTGACTCACATTCAGGTCCTCGGTGGTAACAGTCTGGCCACAGGAACAGGCTGCCGTCTCCAGGCTTTTGCTTTGCCTTCCTTTTTCTTTTTTTTTTTTCCCTCCTAACTGGTTAAATGAAGTCAATAAAAAGCCTCTGATGTGCAATTTTAACTGCCAAATATGTTTTTTTCATTAGACGAACACATCAAGATCGGAATAAAATTGCAGATAACTAATCTATTTTTAATTTGATTGCGATTGTTCTCTGGGAATGTGACTCAGTTTGATAAGCATCAGCTGAATTGAGATTAATTGAGCTGGAGTGAAGTGAGACAGACACAGAGAGAGAGACGAAGATAGAACGGCGCTTCTCTTTTCAAAACGGCACCCATGTGTCTTTGATAGCGTTGTGTGTGTGTCTGTGTGTGTGATGGAGGTACAGTGTGCGTCCATTTTTAAGGTCCCAGCTCAGCGGGGCGGCCTTATCACAGGCAGCAGCTGCAGATTGACGAGACCGCTGACAGAGTGCGGCGGGGAGGAAGAGCCGACCTCTCACTCACAGCTCGCTCTGATGGTACAATGGCGTATGCAGAGCTCATTGGTTTTCGTTTGGATTTTTGCAGATAAAAGCCCCCGAAAATTTGTGGAGGTTTATTTTGAGTCTCGAAAACTGGGTGACAAGGGGGGATTTTTTACAAAGCGTTTGTGTAAAGACGGGATTTTCCAGAATGTAACTTGTAGCACAAACATGTCGAGTTTTTTTTATTATATATTATTTACTAACTACAAGAATCAACCCATTTAGATTTTTGTCCCGAGGCTTCTGTTAATCTTATTCAATCTTTTCCCCAAGACTTCTTAATTTTTAAGGAAGTCTGTGTAAAACCAGGGCTGTGAGGTGGAGCGGTGGTTAGCACTGTTGCAAGAAGGTCGCTGCTGAGGGCACCCGGGATCTTTCTGCGTGGAGTTTGCATGTTCTTCCCGTGCAGCGTGGGTTCTCTCCGGGTTCTCCAGCTTCCTCCCACAGTCCGTAAACATGTTGAGGTTAATTGGTGATTCTAAATTGTGCCTTCGCCCTAAGTCGGCTGGGATGGATGGATGGATGGATGGATGGATGGATGGATGGATGGATGGATGGATGGATGGATGGAAACTTGTGCATTGCAACCTTACAAGTGTTTCAAATAATTAGTGAAAAAAGGCAATTAAACCCACCTTTGCGGGCCGTCTTGATGCTGTGTAGCCCTGTGATAGACTGGTGACTTGTCCAGCTGGGATAGACTCCAGCCCCCCGTGACCCTAGTGAGGATTAAGCGGCGTATAGATGATGGTTGATGATATAGATAATAGATGATGGATGGATGTTTAAAGCCAAAAGAAATGATTGTTGACTGAAGGGATGCAACATCATTTCACTTTCCTGAGAAGGTTGTTGTCTACAGTGACAGAGATGTTGGAGAACCTGCAGATGGTGGAGATGAAAAGACCACAAGCGTTTTAATTCAATTAATTTCTCTCCAATTCCCACCCTCGTTCCCTGTCTTTCCTTCAGGTATCTTAACTACTTTGCCACCAAATCCAGCCCGACAGGAGTGATCCTGGACTTGTGGGAGGCCCAGCATTTTCCCGACGGCAACCTCAGCCGCCTCGCCCAGGTACTGGAGGAGATGGGACGCCATGACAGCCTTGTTCCTGCTATGACTGAGCACTGACACCTGCCCACCAGGGAGTGTGACATTCCAGACACGAAGAAGAAAAAAAACAAAAAAGAAAATAAAGGGATGGGGACCGCCTCCCCCCCAATCGAACGCTGGAGAGTCAGTCATGTGGCATCTCAATGACAAACACACGTACACAAACGCTGCCTGAGTGTACATTCAAAAGAAGTAAGAAGATAGAAAACGGCAAGGTCTGCTCTGCCATGACCCAGTTAAACATTGGCAACAAAGGGTGTAAAAAAACTTGGAGAGTAAACAGGAATCTCTGCCAGTCATTTCTCTGGCTGTTCCTCTCTCTCTCTCTTTCTCTCTCTCTCTCTCTCTCTCTCTCTCTCTCTCTGGTACAACGACTTGATATTTTTGGCTCTCGTTTCCCTGGAAACAGCTTTCCGGTTATTTGTATGGACTGAGCGGATGTGGATGATGCCCCTCGTAATATACAAGAGTTAGCAACACGCTATCAGAGGTCAAAGGATCAAAGGAGGAAGACTCGGATCAGAGGAAGCGCCTCTCCCCTCTCCGGATCCGTCTCCATAGCAACTCCATGGACAAGTATGTGTTCTGTGATAACATAGTATTTAATAATATGCCTATTTATACATATCTTTTTTTTTTTTGTATTTTATGCTGCCTGTTATTGAATACTTTGCAGTGTCCTCTCATTTTCTTTCTTCTTTCGTTACGTTTGACTGTATCATAGCACCACCTGGTGGACACCCGGTGCTGCAGCGTCTCACCCTGTCGGATACAAGTGCAGAAGGAAATCAATGATGTAATCATTTTTACAGGTTTTTTTTTTTAGTGTTGCTGTTGTAACTACTTTTAATACGTTTTAGTCATGTTATGTATGATTATTGATTTTGTGTGCTTCTTTTACGTGATTTTTTTAAGTTGTTAAAATATTTTTTAAGAGTTGAATTGGTGATTTTTCTTTATTTTATTGGGGTGTTTTTGGTTTTTTTGCATGGTTTTTTTTTTTTTTTTACCACATCATTTGGCTAATTACACAACTCTATCCCCGCTAAACAGAGAGCGATCAAGAGTAAAATCCATGACTGATGATCTGTATGTTGTTCAAGAAGATGTCACTTAAAAGACGCCGGGGCAGAGCGGAGAGGACGAATGGGAATCGTATATTTTTGTAGGACCAATGCAAGTGAAAACGACTGCTTTTTACCAAATACGACGTTTGAGGTTCGATTTAATACGGAAGGTTGTCATCTAAATATTCACGTGTTCACAACTAACATTCATCTGTGCTTTCGGAGGATAGTGGAGACTTTAACTCAGACTTCGATGTTTGTACATTAATGACAGAAGCCATTAATATTATGATGACACTGATTCTGTGCATAAAATTTAGTGATAGCTGTAAATGCAACATTCCTTTGATGCAGCAGCACTTGCGACTGTTCCAAGTGTTCTCGTTTTTTTCGATGATTTCTTTTTAATGGCAGTCGTCCCAGTTTTTTTCGTAAAGCCGTCTATGCAAACTCTGCATCCTTTTTGAAACAATCTTTACATTCTCAGTGGGCTAGCCTTCGCATTCCCTAGTTGTTCTTCAGCTTCATGATTATTATTGTGTATAGTGAGAATGTAGCCTGTCTGTTTCTGGCACTCATGATGTTCCTCGCAACTGCTTGCATTTCATCTGTCGAGTTACTGTACAAAGTGTAAGAAAGAATTTTTAAGACTAATAATAAATTATATTTATATGCAACATTGAAAAATGGCTCCAACTGTGAGATTGTGTGACGCTCAACAGACGAAACTTGGAAGACGTTTGTATTTGTTTTATTGGGGGAATGTTATCCAGATCCACTCACACACTGTCATTAATCACATATGTACAGATTAAATAAGGCACGTGCCGTAGTGGTGGAGTGGACGGGACATATTCTGTACACGGATCAAAAACATTTCAACATCCAGCAAGGCAATGCTTAATAGATCTCAGATCAACTTTGTACAAATGAATTGTGAGTGGAAAGAATGAGGGAGAATGAGGCCTCTGCTCTGTGAGGCTTGAAATATGGTTTTACTGGAGGTCTTATTTCAATATTGAAACAAAACATACTGAGAAATTGTGTCAAGAAAACTCAATAGGAAAAAAAACCCCAATATATCCTGGCTGTTTCTGCAGGAGATGTTTTTAATATAGTCGTACTCTGCTTTGCTCTATATTAATAATAACAATAATAATAATAATAATGTTTTCCACAATGAGGTCACTGAGCCTGAATTTCTTTGGATGGATGACAGTCATCATTCATCATGGAGCTGACAGTGAACTTCGAACAGTCTGCTGTATCTTCACAACAAACAAAAACACACACACAAAGGCAGCTGTGACAGTACAAAAGACTGCCCACAAACTGCTGCTATATGGCTTCAGAAGAGCAAAGCAGGAGCTTCCTCTGTTTCAAAGCGATCAGAGGGATTGTAGTCCTCTCCTGCGACGGTCCTTCACCTGGACGGTCTGGACCTGACAAACACTGAGCTTTCACGGAAAGCACAACCTGAACACCGAGTCAGAGGCGGCGGCTCAGACAATGGAAGGGCAAGATGTCCCCTGACATAGTAATAAATCTTTTGCTCCTCATTTTTCTGGCTCCACAGTGAGCATCATCACTGTCACTCGCCCTCCTCGTCAGCTTCCTTTGTTCTATCATTCACAGTCTCATTTCTTATTTATTTTTTTTCCCTTTCTTCTGTTGGCCATGTGAGTGGCCTGTGCCAGTGGCAATGACAAGTCTGTGGGTGACGAGAGCATCTCTCTCGACTCTCTGTCACAGTTTGATATCTTGGGACTCTAACATCTTCGCCAGGGTCTTCTTCACCCTCAGGGCTGTGAGGCGACATGCCGGGTTATGGGCCCAGCACTCCGACATCAGCTTCCCCATCTGTCGTAGACACTGAAGACACACATGTCCATAAGCGTAAGAATACAACAACTTTTTAAAATGTGTAACTGGTGATGCACGATATTAAAATTTCTGGCCGATACCGATATCCGATATTACCAAAGTCGATATTCAATTTTTGTTCACACCGACAAATGAGTATAAATGAGCACTGTCAGTACGTGAAAACTATTCAGAAGAAGCCCATACCAAATTAGACCACATAGTCTAACAAAAGTAAAACATATTTAAACATATGAAAAGTTCATTTGCAAAAACAGATAACTCCAATTTTGTAGATTTTCTGAAAACTTCTTTTTGTTGTTGTTGTTTGCTTGAGTGCATTTGACTGAGTAGAAATTACATGACAAAAATAGTGATAAGATAGTTGATTTTGTCTCAGGTAGACGATGGAAAAGTGGGTTTTCTGAAGGTCTGTAAAGATGGAGTTATCCGTTTTTGCAAATGAACTCTTCATATTTTAACATATTTAACGTTCAGTCCAGGACCATTTACGTAAAAACATCTGTAAAATAGCAATATCAAATGTAGAGACAAAGGCGCTAATGTCAGACAATCTTTGTTTTTTTTTTCACATCAGCTAAATTTGTTCATCGGACTGATGCCAATATATCGGAAAAAAACACTAATATCGGCCGATACCGATGTGGTCACCGATATATCGTGCATCCCTACTTGTAACAAATTATTTATTAATGATTAATAATTAATCATACACTATTTAAAAAGACTGAGAGAGAGAGGGGTAGATCAATTTATTAAGAACTTGTTAACATTCAAAAATGGAGACCTGAGGGCTTTTAATTATGTGAGAATATGTGAGAAACTCATGATTCTTGTCTCTCTCACTTTCCAACAAGCCAGTTGTTCTGTAGATGTAAAGGAAAGTAGTAACGCTACAATAAGGTGCACGTATTTATCTTTAGCTAGTTGCTCATTAGCATGCATGTTATTAATAATATATTGTCTCTTTAGTTGTCATTGTGAAATGATTAATAATGCTTTGTTCTGCATGACTATATTCTCCAACTGCTTGATCATTAATTAAGAGTTTTCACTAAAAAATACTTCATTATTCTGAGCATATTTACATTTCTTACTCATCAGCCTTTCCATCAATAAGCATTAATTAGTGAGGATTGAGGGAAAACTCCTAGTTAATGGCATAGTAGTTCTAAAATATAGCTATGCAGAATAAAACATTAACACTGACTAATAAAAAGGCAATATTCTCCTCATGTGCATGCTAATAAGAAGCTAGTAACTGGTGAGTAAGTGTATGTGTAATATAGAGTGTTACCCAAAATGTACAGCAATCCAAACAAATTCATCCATTAATAAAGCCCTGACTGAAAATGTGTTCAAATGAGGAGGAGGTTCGGATGAGGAAGAGTCAAAAACATACCTCGTCACTGCTCCAGCGATTAGCAAATGACGGTCTTTGTTTCTTGATGCAAACCACTTCTTTCATGTCCTCATAGGAAGGATCGGTGGGAACGAGGTCATGATAGGGCAGCTGATACTCCTCCACAATGCCTGCAGGACACAAACATGGGACTCAGTAATCATCAACAACATATACACATCATGTTTAAGTTTGAATATTGTTTTTTTACCGACCTCCAGAGATGCAGCGTCGAGCCATCTCCCAAACAATAAGTCCAAAACTATACATGTCTGCCATTATAAACGACTGGACGTCGCTCCTGTTCAGGGTCTCGTCCAACACTTCAGGCGGCATGTAGCGCTTCGTGCCGACTCGTAGGTTAGTTGGGATATCGACTTCATTGGTGTCACTGAGGCGGAGAGGAAAAAAAACAGAGATGGGTCATAAATTTTCAGCATGATTCAGGAAGATGCTCCTAAACCAGGGGGTGGGCAATCCTGGTCCTCGAGGGCCACAATCCTGCATGTTTTAGATGTTTCCCTCTTCCAACACACCTGATTCAAATGATCAGCTCATCATCAACA